CGATTCATACTGCTACGAATCTTAAGACTATTAACAATACTAACACGAAGGCTAACTATATTACTAACAATATTTTGAAGACGAATAATAACAATATAATGCGAGTGCTAAGACTATTGTTACTACTAATGATACTGAGAATCATGCGTTTAGTATTGATCGGACGAGGATTAATACAACGCATTCGAAGACTACGACAACTGGTAATACTCAGCATACTACTACTACTACTGCTACTACTACTACTACTACTACTACTACTACTGCTGCTGCTACTACTACTACTATTACTATTACTATTACTATTACTATTACTATTACTATTACTATTACTATTACTATTACTATTACTATTACTATTACTATTACTATTACTATTACTATTACTATTACTATTACTATTACTAATAATGAGAAGCATACGAAGACGAATGTGGGGACTACTAATAATATGAATCAACGCAATACTAGGACGAACAATACTACTATGACTGAAACTTAATAGCAGTAATAATACTGTTTGAAACTATTAGCACTACGCTGGTAATACTAAGCATGCGAATAACCAGAAGAGGAGGAGGTGGAGGAGGATGCGGAGCAGGAGGGGGAGGAGGAGTAGGATGATGAGGAGGAGGAGGAGGAGGGGGAACAGGGAGGGGGGGAGGAGGAGGAGGAGGAGGAGGAGGAGGAGGAGGAAAAGCAGGAGGAGGAGGAGGTGGTGGTGGTCACTGCGTAAGGGGAACAAAGTCCGAGCAGAGCAACACGCACCACCACGACAATGATGACGCCGACGACGATGACGATGATGGAGACGAGGCGCGCTGACGATCCGTACCAAAGCACCGACTGGGGAACAGGGGGTTCTCCTGCCAGGTTCGGTACACAGCACGTCGTTGAGCGGTGCTGCGACGGATGAGGATGTGGATGGGCAGGGGGAAGAGAAGGAAGAGCAGGGGGTTGATCGGGGGTGGAGGGACTTCGGGGCTCTGGCGGGTCTGTTGGGTTCCAGGGGGTCTCTAGCGGGTGTCAGGGAATTCTGGGCGCTGGGAGCTGGAGGGGGGCGAGGAGGAGGAAGTGCACGCCCTCTTCGTCGCGGTCTTGGGGGAGGAGGAGGAGGAGGAGGAGGAGGAGGAGGAGGAGGAAGAGGACCCTGACGTCTGGAAGCTGTGGACAGAAGAACGATCCAGCTTCGGGCCCCAGGGGCTCTCACGGGCCGACCAGATGCGATACACGCACACGCACGCACACGCACACAAGCACTCAGGGTGTGAAGATGAGGGTTTTTTTCGGGGCGCCAGATGTCGGAGGGGAGAGGCCGCGGGACGAGGCCCTTCGGGTGGCCTTTTAGCATCGGAGCCAGCGGGGGGTCTGAGGTGGCCCAGCACTGGCCTCGACCAGCAGGAAGGGGGGCGAGGTTCGAGGTTCTGGTGGGTTCGAGACGCTTTTGTTTGTTTATTGTTTAGTGAGGAATCTGCATCTCTTAAGAACAATCATTCTTGTTCCCCCCTGTGGTGACCATTCGCATTTTTCAATCCAAGTGCTCCTCCCCAGGCTCGCACCCTGCATTTTACAAGTGCAAGCTGTGTGTCACCAAACTGTCCTGTGGCCCCCGAGTTTCAACAACAACAGCTCCCGCCTGAGACTTCCTCACAATACAGTATATTGAGAAATCGCGACTTCGCGCGGAACTTCCTCACAAGTCATGCAGGAATCGAGCTCTCGCGAGGGACTTCTCGCAATTTATTCAAACGCCGCGCCCATGACACTCCGTAATCACGCTATCGCTTTGGCTTTTCTGACGATTTATTTGGGAATCGCGCTATCGCCCAGACTTTCTCGCGATTCATGCTGGACTGACGCTTCAGCAACCCGCCTGCTTGACCTGGCCCTCTTGGCCCGCCTTCCCGTCCCGTTCGCTTGGGTCTGCCCGCCCGATCTGCCCGGCTTTTTGAGGGGCTGCACTGAATGCGCGTGGCAGGTAAGAAATACATACCCCAAGTATGTATGATCGGACATCAAGAGGGCGGTACCAGGGGTTTGGGATGTACGTGAGCAGATAGGATCCAACAGTCTTAAGGTGATTGTTGTTGTTGGTGCTGCTGTTGTTGAGTTCTCATCTCTAAAGAATAACAAGTGTTGATCCCCTCCAGCAACCACGGTATTTTCAATCGAAGTGCCCCCCTCGGGGCTCGCACCTTGTTTTTTTAATCAGGGAAAGCTTGGTATCACCAAACTGTGTTGTTGGGCCTCGAACTACAACAACGAAGGCTCCCGCCTGAGATTTCCTCACAACTTATTCCAAAATCGCGCTCTCGCGCGGGACTTCCGCACAACTTATGGAGGAGTCGCGCTCTCGTGTTGGATTTCCATGCAATTCCGATTGGCGGTTGGCACCTCCACCTGCTGACCGCGCCTGGGGTCCTTCCGCCCCGCCGACTTTAAAGTGTTTCTTTTTGTGTTCTTGCGCTGCTCCGGGGGCCGTTTTCGGGCCCTGGGGCCGATACAAGAGGATTCCTGGTGAAACAATAGGGGCACAGTGCCGATCCAAGAGAAAGCCTGGAGGATCTGCGAAGTTTCTGCATGTCTGTCTGTATGTTTGTTTGGTTGTATGTATGCATGCATATACGTGTGTGAATATACGTGTGTGTGCGCGCGTGTGTGTGTGTTTTGTGTATTCTGGTCTGCTTCACCCTCGTTGCCCATGTCCAGGTATGTGCATGGCGTGGCCGATCCCGTTTGGATCCCTGCCCCATCTCCTGAGGGGCCGGCCGCGCACGTTCTCTAGTTTCTGGGGTGAATTGTCGCTGCGCGCGAGGCCGCGACCGCCAAAAAGTGTTTGTGTGTTTGTGTGTTTGTGTGTGTGTTTCCAGATGGCGCGTTCGATTAAGTTCGTTCGCAATTGGCACCTGCACCTGCCGACCGCGACTGAGGTCCCTCTGCGCCGCCGACTTACGTGTATGTGTGTGTGTGTGTGTGTGTGTGTCTGTTGTTCTTAAGCCTGTATGCGTTGCCGCTGCGTGCTGTCGTGCTGCGTGCCAGGGACCAGCGAATTAAGTGCAGGCCAGGTTGCCGCACAATGGGCAGTTGTGCATCCGTGCGTACCCCGTCGAATCTTGATCCTGACCCCGAGCCGCTGCGGCCAGATCCCGATGCCCGTTCCGATACGCCGACGCGCCGATTTTCTCACAGCGTGGGGCCCCGAGTGTGTCGGCCTTTTCCCTGGGATTAGTTTTTCATCCCCGGCCGTTTTGTGACGGTCCCTGGGCTCAGTGAGGGCCGCCACATGCCGAAAGCGGCCCCGAATGCTCATGTCGCGATTTCTTCACGACCTGACTGTGACATCCGCCGACGCGATTTTGTCAAGTCGTCGGAGGGAGGAGGAGGAGGAGGAGGAGGAGGAGGAGGAGGAGGAGGAGGAGGAGGAGGAGGAGGAGGAGGAGGAGGAGGAGGAGGAGGTGGAGGAGGAGGGGAGAGGAGGAGGAGGCTCTCCATATTGGCACCTATTTTCTCCGGCCGATGACCCGACCCGCCCGACCCTGAGGAGGAGGAGGAGGAGGAGGAGGAGGAGGAGGAGGAGAAGAAGGAGGAGGACGAGGAGGAGGAGGAGGAGGAGGAGGAGGAGGAGGAGGAGGAGGAGGAGGAGGAGGAGAGGTCCGGCCTGGCCGGTGCGAGGTGAGACCCGGCGAGCTCTTCGATGAGGGCGGCGGCCGTCGCGTGCGGGCGTGCAGCTCCGGGTCGCAGGGCTGTCCGTGGCGGAAAGGCGGCGTGCGCCTCTGGGAGGCCGCCGCCCGCCCCACGGCGGCCCTCTCGTCGGCCGCTGGCGCCCGCGGAGGCATCGGCGAGCTGCGGCGGCGGCGCTTGCAGCGCTGGCGCCAGCGGCATCGGCGAGCGGCGGCGGCGTCGCCCGCAGCGTTGTCGGCGGCGGCGCCAGCGGCAGCGCCGGCGGTTTTGGCGGCAGCGGCGGCGAGGCCGCCGATGGCCACCGATGTCCGCCTGCCGCCGCCGCCGCGCGCGCGCCGCTTGCCGCCGCCTCCGCCGTCCTTTCGGGGGCCCCGTCCGGCGAGGCTTTTCTCCCGCTCCTTCGCCGGCGCCTCCCTCCTCCTCTTCCGCCTCCATCCTCCTCCTCCTCCTTCTCCTCCTCCTGTTCCCCCTCCTCCTCTTCCTCCTCCTCCTCCTTCTTCTCCTCCTGCTCCTCCTCCTCCTCCTCCTCCTCAATCTCGTCCCCCTTGTGCCCCTCCTGCCGCTCCCCCCTCCTCCCTCCTCCTTTTTCCTCCCTCCTCCTCCTCCTCCTCGTCGTCGTCGTCCTCCTCCTCCTCCTCCTCCTCCTCCTCCTCCTCCTCTCCTTCCTGCGCCCCTCCGTAGCCATTTTGGCTCAAGCCACATGCGAGGTCGGGGCCTCGGACGCGCCACAGCTCCCCCCGCACGCTATGGTGAGCAGCCCTGCAGGTTCGCGTGGTGTCTGCTCGCTGGAGTGACTATCTACATGGTGCGTTTTAGGTCGCCTGAGAAGTTGAATTCGTCGTGGTTATGCTCGGGAACGGATGTATCTGCAGGCTCGTCCCTCTGGGATGCGCCACATCGCCGTGCCCTTGCATTCGACCTCAAATTCCAAGGATGTCGTCAAGGGTCTCGCCGCGCACTCTGAGCTGTAGACGGTCTCTCGAGTTCACGCGCACAGCCTGCGAAATGTTCTTGTGCGTGCCACCCCACACTTCGACGCCGAGTCGATCGCGCAGATGCGGGCCGTCAACGAACAGGGTGGCCGCGCCAAAAATCGTGTACCAGACGCTCCGCCTGGTCTTGCTGCCATGCCGTGCCTGACGGACAAGCGCGTGCTGATGCTGGACTCGCTCTCGCTGCAGTCTGCGGATTGCCTGACGCATACCTTTTCGACTGCAATGTTGGCGATGTCACACGCGCTGCAGGTGGTCGCCCAGTTCGTGTGCTTGCCGAGTGTCAGACCGCTCGGAGTGTGTTGCCAAACTGATCTTCAACGTGTCGCTGCTTTCATCGCGGAGCTGAACACACCAACGGAGGACGTACACCGACTTCGAGGATGAGCTGGGCGCCTTCCTTGCTGGTGGTGCATTTTGCTGGATTGTTGTCGTTTCCCTCTTCGCGTGGGTGCTTCCCCTACGTGGTCGTTTTCTTACTTACGGTTTTGCCGATTGACGCGGGTTTTCGCACCTCTATCCCCCCCGTGGAGTAGATCTTGGGTGTTTTTGGCGCCTGTTTCAAGGAGTCTCCCACATAGGACGCACTGCTGCAAACAGTCGCTTCAAGCAGAGGTCTGGAGCCAGCCCCCCATCTCTCCCCCCCCATTCCTCCCAATGTCGAAGCGCCGAGTAAGAACGCATTCCCTACGTCTTCTTCATCGCCGCCGATTTGCCCGCGCGCGCCCGTGTGCCGCGTCGCCTTCTTCCTCGCTGCCGTCTGCTCGCGGTGCGCGCCCCCGGGCGTCGTCGCTGACGTGCGTGCGTCGGCTGTGCCTCTGCGCTTTGTCCTGCCGTGTCCGACGGCCGCCTGAACGAGGCCCTTTACGAAGCCGTTCTTCATGAGCGCGCCTGCGGTGAGGTGGATGATTGTCAAAGCTCGGCGGCGAGCGATGGGGGAGAAGTGAGAGAGAAGGCCCTCTCAGAAGGTTCAGACGCCCGCCGGCCTTCTGAGAGGTTTTCTGAACGTTCCCCGAAGACAGAAAACGTTTTTCAGATGGCGCGAGGGCTTCTGAGAAGCCCCGCCGCATTCTGAGAAGGCCTTCTCCTTCTCATTTCCTTTTTCGCTCGCCGCCGAAAAGCATCCTGCGTGTGCCTGTAGCCGCTGCTTCCTGTGGCGTTCTTCCTCCTGGTGCTCGTGACGCTCGTCGTGATGGGGCTGCTAGTCAGGGTGATGCTGTTGACGAGGCGCATCAGAGGTGTTGACCTCCAGGACACAGCCCGGCGGCAATGCCGGCAGTCCTGCCCTGCATTCCACACTCGTACACCATAGAGGCATCGTTCTCCAGGACACAGCCCGGTGGTTAGGCCGGCGGTCCTGCTTCCTCTCAACGTTCACACACCAGAGTTGGTTTATTAATTGCTGTGTCCAATTATATTTATATATCGGTTAATTATTACGTTCGTTGTAAGCCCATTCCCCCCTGGCCTTCCCTCGCATGATCTTCCCAATCTTGCCAGGGTTTCGAGGGCGGAGGGGGCTTGACACCCCAGGCCAAACGCCCCTCGTCACAGTAACGGTCTGGACGCGCACGGAGGTCCGGACGAAGGCTCTCCCGCCTCCTCCCCCGCGCTTCCTCCCCCCCGCGCACGGGGGGAGAGGTTTGCGTAGGACTGCATGCGGTGCTACGCCTCGAGCCCTCCAGTCTGGGGGGGCACGATTTGTTGCAGTTTGTGGGGGCCCTGCCAGGGCCCCGCGGAAACCGTGGCACGCCCAAGGCCCCCAGCCCTTGCTTCAGGCTTGGGCGCTGCATTGTATAACGAGGATAGTGTACGCTGTCGCGTGTGTAATGCAAGCTATGCGGTGCATGCCGGGTAGACGTCACATTTATCGTGTCCCGGCCGCGTGGCCGATGAAATGGACCTCACATTGTTGCGCTCATTGCGATAACAAATTGTGTGTGTGTGGTTTCTGTGCCCTGCAGTCCGACACGGCTTGGGCAGGCCGACCCATCCACTAACGCATGCGCGGTGCGTGCCTCGCCTCCCACAATCGCACGCTGCACGAGCGCCCTCTGTTCAAGATTCAGGCGCCCCCGGGAGCGATCAAATCGTGCCCCCCCGGGTACCCAGTAATTGATGCGGTACCGCATTGTGACTCTCTATCGGTCCCCCTTGGCTGGCGCTGCGTGCAAGGGGGTTATGCTGTCCCCGCCGTTGTAGCGTTCGGGCTCAAGCTTAGCGTCACTGTGTCAGCACCGTCTGCTTTACCACAGTCATCACCCCCACTCGCACATTTGAGGTGCTGACCTCCAGGACACAGCCCGGCGGCAATGCCGGCAGTCCTGCCTTCACTCCACACTCGTACACCATAGAGGCATCGTCCTCCAGGACACCCCGGCGGCGAGCCCAGCGGCGAGGCCAGCGGTCCTGCTCGCACGCCAGAGGCAGTGACCTCCAGGACATAGCCCGGCGCAAATGCCGGCGGTCCTGCTGCCATCCCAATGCACATCAGAGGTGCTGACCTCCAGGACACAGCCCTGCGGCAACGCCGGCGGTCCTGCCTCCATTTTACACTCGTACACCATAGAAGCATCGCCCTCCAAGACACAGCCCGGCGGCGAGACCGGCGGTCCTGCTCCCACTCAACACACGCACACCAGAGGCGCTGACCTCCGGGACAAAGCCCGGCGGCAATGCCGGCAGTCCTGCCTTCACTCCACACTCGTACACCATAGAGGCATCGTCCTCCAGGACACAGCCGGGCGGCGAGGCCGGCGGTCCTGCTTCCACTCAACACTCGCACACCAGGGGCACTGACGTCCGGGACATAGCCCGGCGCAAATGCCGGCGGTCCTGCTGCCATCCCGCTGCGCATCAGGGGTGCTGACCTCCAGGACACAGCCCAGCGGCAACGCCGGCGGTCCTGCCTCCACTTTACACTCGTACACCATAGAGGCATCGCCCTCCAGGACACAGCCCGGCGGCGAGACCGGCGGTCCTGCTCCCACTCAACACACGCACACCAGCGGCACTGACCTCCAGGACATAGCCCGGCGCAAATGCCGGCGGTCCTGCTGCCGGCCCACGCGCGAATCCAGAGGTATTTACCTCCAGGACACAGCCCGGCGGCAATGCCGGCGGTCCTGCTTTCACCCCCAATCGCACATCAGAGGTGCTGACCTCCAGGACACAACCCGGCGGCAATGCCGGCAGTCCTGCCCTCATTCCACACTCGTACACCATAGAGGCATCGTCCTCCAGGACACAGCCCGGCTGTTAGGCCGGCGGTCCTGCTTCCACTCAAACTTCAAACACCAGAGGCACTGACCTCCAGGACATAGCCCGGCGCAATGCCGGCGGTCCTGCTTTCATTCCACACTCGCACACCAGAGGTATCGACCTCTGGGACAGCCCGGCGGCAATGCTGGCGGTCTTGCTTCCACTCCACTTTGACACAACAGAGGTATAGACCCCGAGCGGAAATGCTGGCGGTCCCGCCTTTGTTTTACTCCTCGAATGCGGCGCGTTTCTACCTGCGCTCGGCTCAAGTTTCACACTCGCACACAACAGGTATTGACCTCCAGGACACAGCCCAGCGGCAATGCCCGCAGTCCTCTATAGTTACTGCCCACATTCAGGTCACGAGGTATCGACTTCCAGGACAAAGCCCAGAGGCAATGCCGGCGGTCCTGCACTCACTTGGTTTATCAGTTACTGTGTCTATATCAGTTAATTATTAGGTTGGTTGCAACAGGGTGTGACAAGGACTTCCCAAGAAACTTGTTTAACAATACGCGGCATCGCACATTCTCTGTCGCAGGGATCTCTCTCCCTGTTTACCCCCAGACATTCCTGGCTGTTGGGGATCGGGGGTGCACCAAAACATTGACCCCCAGGTCGCGAAATCCAGGCCGTGGTTTTGCGCCGCCCCTTCTAAGGCCCTGAGAAGGGCCATGCGCACCTCCGAAGCAATCTGTACCACTTGCGCGAAGCCTCTCCCGCGCACCTGAGCAGCCCTTCCGGCTGCCGTCTCCGAGGATGGCCGAAACCAAGCCGGGGAGAGTTCAGAAACCGTGGGGGACGTGCCACGTCAGTGGCCACCTCGCCCATTCCTAACAGTCGTCCCCCATGCGTTAAGATCCCTGGAAACCATTTGACTCAAAGGATTGGTTTCTGCCATCCTCAAGACTTTAAGGATGAGACCTCCTAGAGTCTTTGCAACTTCTTTTCTGCATCGGGATGTTGCTTTGGGCAGCGGGTGAGTGGGGAACCGCAATCACCCTGACAAGGGTTCTGATGGTCGCCTCATCCTTAAAGATGGTTCTAGGTGCCCTCAAAGCCTATTGCGTACCTGGCAGTCCTCCTCCTCCTCCGGTTGCTGCAGCCCTTTCCCTGGGCGCTTGACCTGCCCAGATCTCCCCCTCGCACCGTGAACAAATCGCGACGGGAGCGGCCTGCCCCTGGCGGTCCGCGGTCCTCAGAGCTGCAACGTCGTATTTTTTGTTTGTAGTTGTTTTTGTTTGTTCTCTCTCTTCCTTTGATATGTTTTTTATTATATATAAAAGGTTATGTTTTGTTTGTTTGTTTTTCAATGTTTGTCTTTTTATATTTTTTCTGCTGCACCGTTGGTCCCCAGTGGTCCGGACCGCTTGTGTGCGGCCTGTTGTTCATCCCGAGCTGTTTTTCTCACGGCCCTGGGGCCCAGTGAGAGCCCCCAGAGGCCGACAGCTTCTCAAAATTTGTCGCTGCCGACATTTTTCGCGACGAGAGGAGATCTGGGTTTCGTGTCGGGGAGTCATCCGGTGCGTTCCAGAAAGGACTTCGCCTTCGGCGCGCCCTCGTCTTCGGCGGACGCCTGCGGAAGGCCAGCGGAAGCCAGCGAAATTACAGCTGGGCGGCTCCGCCGGCGGAAGCTGCCAAAGTGAAAGAATTCGTTTTTCCCAGAGGTGCGCACTGTTGTGGACTGAGGGTCTCCAGGTCGAGCCGGCCGGGCGTTGTCGGTCAGTCAGTGGAGCCGCGCCGCACAGGGCATCGGCGAAGCCGCACAGGGCTGCTAGCATTAGTCCTGCCTGGTGCACGCACGCTCCAAAAGCACATGTATGAACAGGGCTTCTGCGCCGAGCTTTGCTGTAGCCCTGCCTGGGCTCAGCGTGCACATTTTTTTAGGGGGGAGGGGCAGAAAGCGTCCGCCAGGAGTTCATGGGCGGCCTCGCCGCAGAGCGTGGTGCCGCCGGGACGGAGGTCTTCCTGAACGCTGGGCTGGTCGCAGGTGCCCTCGCCGCTGGGGCTGGGCTCTTCCGCCGCGCCTTTTCTCCCGCACCTGGCAGCGCGGAGGAGGGGAGGGCACGGGGGGGCGATGCGCGGAGTTCTGCTGTAGACGACCGCCATGCAATGCGTGCACCTAGCCAAATGTGTCGACGGTGCTCACTGGCGTCTGCCGTATCTCCCTTTCCAGACCCCCGACGTCATCTGTTCTTCAGCAACGTCGACCCCCAGAGGTCACGACCCATTCCCCTGGACTTGGTTTTTCATCCTGAGTCGTTTTTGACGGTGCCGGGCCCTGCGAGGGCAGCCAGGAAATCGTCCGTGTTTTCTTTGTTGCTGCGACTCGAGGGGGGAGCACGTTGCTACGCATGGAAGGAATGCCGATTAGCACGGTAAATGATGAGGCTATGCTACCTCTTTTGATTTTGAGCCGGCTTTGATGCCCACTCGTGCCCACCCCGTCCCGTCTTCAGGGACTTCTCATTTTCCTCATGATGGCGGGATGGACAGACGGCCTCCACCCTCGGCACTGCACGTACTGTGCCAGGATCGTGGGGATTTGCCCCAGCGGCCCCTATGATGGAAACTGCGGAGGAAGTGAGGCCTCATGGCGGCCCTCTCTGATAAGGCCTATGATGGTCCTCACTGGTGGTGTGGGGTGGGAAGAGGGACACCTGAGAGGGGCTGTGAGAGGAACTGAAACCACCGTCCAGGCCCTTGCACGAGAGAACCCACTATCAAGAGGAGCGGGCGGTCCACAGGCGGGGAGTCACGCCGCACCCGCCGCCACCGCGGCGTTACGCCCCCGTCGAACACCTCGCTCCTACCCCCCCGGGGAGGCCCTTTTGAGAGGCTGCACGAATCCCACGGCCCCCCCCCCCCCGCACTCGTGCATCAGCGCCCACTCGTACTGGTAGTCCCAGTCGTGGTCGCCGTCGTCGCCGAAGTCGTCGTGCTCGATGTCCGTCGTCGGTGCCAGGACAGCGGGGACGGGTCCCCGCAGCCTCTAAAACTGTCCGAAGCCACTCCGCCTCCAGCTCGAGCCGCCCGCGGCGCTCGCTGCGGCGCCGTATGCCGCACCCGCGCCGCCCCCCCGCCGCCGCGACGCGGGCGCGGCCGCGGCGGCCCCGCCGCGGCCCTGCCACGGCACGCCCCCGTGGGGCCGGCCACGCGCGGCGGCCTCCTCCGCCCCTCCGCCGTGGGCGGCTGCCGGCGCCCCCCGGCGCCCTCGGGCGGCGCGGGCGGCCACGGCCGCTGGCGCCGCCGGCATGGCGGCCTCGCTGGGCTGGCCGCGCCGCGGCGGGCCCCGCCGCTGGAAGCAGCTGCTGGCGCCCCCGGCGTGGCGGCCCCTGCCCTCGGCGCCGCCGCGCCCGCACGGCGGGCGCTGCTGCGGCAGCGAGCGGTCTCGCCTCGGAGGCTGGCTGGACGTCCAGCGGCAGCTCGTGCGAGACCGCGCCCCGGCCGAGATCACGGCGCAGGACAGGCGCGAGGCAGCCTCAGAGGCATTCCAGCAGATGATCGCCGGCATGGATCTGGACGCTCGGGGCGGCAGTGCCGTGTTCGTGGAGCCGGCGCAGCTGCAGGAGATCCTGGAGGACGCCGCGATGTGCCCGGCGTTCTCGGCCGAGCTGTGCATGCCTGGCGGTCCGTTTGAGAGGGTCCTGTGCAGCGAGGAAGCGTTTTTTGGCTGCGTGAGGCGGCAGCAGTTTTTCAGGAACCAGCTGATGCGCCTCTTCCTGGAGAAGTTCTTGATTATCCGCCAGTCCCTCAGCTCTCTGTTTGAGGAGGATTGGGCCGCGGATGCCGATGTAGTGGAGGGAGTGTTCGGAGATGATTTGTCCCTGGACGGACGAGACCGGCTCGAGGCTGCATTTATCTTCGACAGTGGGGAAGCGCCACAGGCCGCGAGCTTCCTCTCCCGTGACCTCTTTTTCGTGCGAGGATGTGTGAAGCCTGCAGACGCACAGGGGGACGCTGAGGGAGGTCAGACGCCTTCCTCCGACTGGCTCCTCGGCACCGCGCGGAGGGTCGTTCACACCCAGGACTCCCGCGTCAGCCTGATCCTGCTGAGGCTCCACCACATCGGGCCCACGCAGGGCTTCGTGCCAGTGAGCGGCGAAGCCGCACAGCTGGTCCACGTCGGGTTCATCCCCTCCGTCTTCTACCGCCAGCTGGACGCGGTGCGGGACCTCTGCGAGGGCCACGAGCGCTTCACGGGGATGGTCCAGGGCATTTTCTTTCCGGGCGGCGGGCCCCAGGCTCCGATGCAACTCTTGGGAGGCCAAATTCAAAAGCGGCGCTGGCATATCCCTGGTCGACAACGGGCCTGATCTGGCATCATGCCGCTCGATCCCGCCCGATCCGGCCTCGCCGGGCTTAGTCCTGGGCTTCATGCGACCTCATCCGGCTTGATGGCCCTGGCATCGGGCTGAATCGCCTCTGCTCGTTCCCACGAAGACCTCCCAGGAGTTTCCTCCTGACTCACCACCCACCAAACCACCCCAGCCCAACCCGAAGGCCTCAATTTGCCCTCCATTTCCAGTGGGGGGGGGTCGGGGAACATGGAAAAAACACGTGGAGCCCGTAATTACCTGCCCCAACCCGAAATTCGGGTCAAATTCGGGTCCTCGGGTTGGCTTCCCAGACATGCGACGTCCAGATTGGAGAGGCCTGACGGCCGGTGCCGCCGACCCTGATCGAAGGTGCTAGGAGGGGGAGGAGGAAGCGAAGGAGGAGGAGGAGGAGGAGGAGGACGAGGAGGTGGAGGAGGTGAGACGGAGCAGGAGTACGAGAAGAGGACAAGGATGAGGATGAGGATGAGGATGATGATGATGATGATGATGATGATGCTGATGATGATGATGATGATGATGATGATGATGATGATGATGATGATGATGATGGTGATGGTGATGATGATGATGATGATGATGATGATGATGCTGATGCTGATGATGATGATGATGATGATGCTGATGCTGATGCTGATGCTGATGCTGATGCTGATGATGATGCTATGCTGATGCTGAGATGATGATGATGGGATGAGGATGAGGATGAGGAGGAGGATGATGAGGATGATGATGAGATGATGATGATGATGATGATGATGCTGATGCTGATGCTGATGCTGATGCTGATGATGATGATGAGATGATGATGGATGATGATGATGATGATGATGATGATGATGATGATGATGATGCTGATGATGATGATGATGATGATGATGATGATGATGATGATGATGATGATGATGATGATGATGATGATGATGATATGATGATGATGATGATGATGATGATGATGATGATGAGGAGGAATTAAGAGAAGGAGGAGGGGGAGGAGGAGCAGGAGGAGGAGGAGGAGGAGGAGGAGGAGGAGGAGGAGAAGGGGGAGGAGGATGAGGACGAGAACCTCCTCGCGACGCCCTCCAGGCTTTCTCGAAGGCTGCCGGGGGAGTCGGATCTGGGGAGGGGCCCCCCGGGTCCCCCGGGACCCCCCGGGACCCCCCCGGGACCCCCCCAAGTCCGGCCCCCCCCCCCCCGTACCGGGGAAGGGAAACGGGAATGGGCTTCCCTTCGAAGTATTGACGTACTGACGACGTTCAATCAGTTGCTTGGCACGGCATGTGCAAGGAAGAGGACTCTGCTGACCGAGAGCGGGAGAACGGCGAGTGGAAGCTGGATGCGGCTAGAGAAATTCGAGCAGGAAAGAAAGCACGACGCGAACGGAGAAGCCCCTCACACACGCCGACAGGGTCGGCGGATTTTCTAGGACGGCGTTTCTGGAGGTCCCGATCCCTTCCCCAGAACTGTTTTTTCGTCCTGAGTCGTTCTTGGACGGTCCCGAGGCCCGGCGAGGGCCCCCTGGGGCCGAGCATAGCCCCAAACCCGCCGCCCTGATTTTCTCACGACGCGATCCTGTCTGGGTTGGGGTGGTCTGGTCGGTAGTCAGCTGACCAAGGGCCAGCGCGGTGCCGCGGCGGGCGCGGGAGAGGAAGAGGCCCGGCAGCCGGCCGTGCGGGCGACGGCCCCGCGGGCGAGGCCGGCCTGCCGGGCCACCTCAACGAGCAGCAGCGGGCGGCAGCGGCGGAGGCGCTCGGCAGCGCTCCGGTCACGCTGGTGGCGGGGCCGCCGGGCACTCGGAGGAGGAAAAGGTACCCATACCTCTATCCTTCCCTCGTTTCTCCCTTGTCGGGCCTCCTGGGAGGCCCTCCTCGCCACCGCTGGATTCGCTTCGAAATCCCGGTCAGAACGCACCCCGGGAGAGGTCTGGGAAGTAGCAGTATCGGTACCTTTCGGTTTCCCCAGGCACGGGGAAGACGGCGGTCGCGGTGGCGATCGTGGAGGCGTGGCTGAGACAGGATGCCGAGGCCCCGATCCTGGTGGCAACGGGGACGCACACGGCGAAGAGCCTGATCGCTCGGCATCTCCGGGAGCGCGGGTACCTGCTGAGGGACCGCCGCAGGGAGGTTTTCAGGGAGAAGCATCCCGAGAGATCAGTGCCGGTCTTCGTGGAGACCGTGTACATGGCCGCAGTGCCAGATCACCGTCAGCTACCACGTGTGCTCATTGACGAGAGCTCGCAGATCACAGAGGCCTCCGCGCTCGTGGCGCTTGGCCGAGGCTGCGAGAAGTTGGTTCTGATCGGGGATCCAAAGCAGCTTGACCCGATATCCCAGTTGGGCCCGTTTGGGACGGCTCGAGACTCCGAGCCGGGGCCATACAGCCAGGAGCGCGAGAGCGCGTTTGACATGGTGCGGCTGCGGCTGGATCGGAAGCCAGTTCAGCTGAGCGTGCAATATCGGATGCACCCGACACTGTGCCAGTATCCGTCGGATCGGTTCTACCACGGCTCGCTGCGGAGTGCCGACGCCCTGCGGGACTCCGCGCGCTTCGAGCTGCCAGCCAACGAGTTCCTGCCAGCGCCGGTGGTCTTCGTCGACAGCGCTCGGCTGCAGGGCTCCAGCGAGGAGGAGCTGGTGTCGCTCGGCGGGGCGCGTTCTCTCCGGAACCGCGGGGAGGCGGAGCTCGTGAGCAGGGCGGTCGGCTCCCTCCTGGAGTCGGGCGTGCCGCGGGAGACTGGGCGGTGCGCGCAGCCCAGACGGTTCAAGCAGTGGCGAAGCGTCCTAGCTCGCCTGTGGGCCTAACCAAAGAATGTCCTAAGAACCTTTTGTGGTCTGCACGAAATGTTCTTAGGACATTTCTGGCTGGGGCTGTCTTGTTTTAGCACATCGGGTTTGTGCTCTAAGTTTTTTGTTGTTTTTCGAACGTTCTTGGGTTCTAGGAACGTTTCGTGGTAGGCCTATAGGAATGCCAGGACGGTCGGTCCCTGTTCAAAGACCCCCTCGCGTCGCGAACAAAACACGACAGGCGTTTCTGTCCTGGTTGTTGCTGGGCCCGAGGACCGTCAATCAACGATTCGGGATGAAGAGCAGGCCCCAGGGAGTGGGTCAAGACCTCTGGGGGTGTGACGTCGGGAGTTTTGAAAGGGCTGGTTCGGGGGGGGGGCGGTCTATTAAGCAGAGCAGACGGGAGGCGCTATTCAGAGGTCCTCCATGCCTCCCATCGGCGTCACCCAACATATTCATACTAGGTGTGCGTCGCGCCCCCCCCCCTCTCCCCCTCAGGAGCGACGCGCGGGCCGAGAAATCTTAAAGTATAACCTCCGTGGCGGGGGCTTTCTGGCCAAATCGCTCGGGAAACGATATACGACAAGATGTTTATACTATATGCTCGGGTCGGACGCACGCCTCGAAGGAGGACGTCTAGTACTAGTATGTCCTTGTGCGTCCCATTTCTGGAGCCTTCCCAGAAGCCCCTGGGCCCGTCAAGAAGCTGCCGCCTCCTCAGAAGCCCGCCCCCCTCGCGAAAGTGCCTTCCCTGACACCCGCCGCTGTTCTTTTTGTTGCTTCTTTCGCGGCGCTCCAGAAGTCCTGACCTTTGCCCCGGAGCCAGCTTTTCGATGTCTGGTGGTCCCAGGGCCCGAACACGCGAAAACAGGCCCCGAGGGCCGAAGTCAGGGCACAACGGCCAGACTGCAGTTTTCGATCGTCGGCGATGGTGTGGCTATTCGGTGTGCGCATAGACAGCCTCTCCAGGTGGTCCCGGCCGGCATCAACAGCCCTCGAGCACTTTCCTTCGGGTGGAGGGCAGAGGGCGACATCTGGAATGCCGTTTCGATTGGTTTTCGAGTCTTGAATCTGCACAAGGTGAATCACAAGACGGATTGATTTTCGAGGTACGAAAGCCCATATGGATTTCACCCTGAGCCCTCCACCCTAAGAAAATGCTCAGTCAACAGCCCCCCGAGTAGTCCCACCTGGCCTGTGCCGCCCCGAGGCGGCGTCAGGGTGTTTAGTCGGCCCCGGGCTACTCGGGTCAGGAGCGAAATTTGCCTGGCGAAGAGGCGGAGGAGGAGGAGGAGGAGGAGGAGGAGGAGGAGGAGGAGGAGGAGGAGGAGGAGGAGGAGAGGCGGAGGAGGAGGAGGAGGAGGAGGAGGAGGAGGAGGGAGGAGAGAGGAGGAGGAGGAGGAGGAGGAGGAGGAGGAGGAGGAGGAGGAGGAGGAGGAGGGAGGAGGAGGAGGGGAGGGGAGGAGAGGAGGAGGAGGAGGAGGAGGAGGAGGAGGAGGAGGAGGAGGAGGAGGAGGAGGTGGAGGAGGGAGGAGGAGGAGGATGAGGAGGAGGAGGCGGAGGAGGTGGAGGAGGAGGAGGAGGAGGAGGAGGAGGAGGAGGAGGAGGAGGAGGAGGAGGAAGAGAGGGTTGTGGCCGAAGGCGGTTGGAAGACCTCAGGTGGTCGCATTCCCGTTACCGTGCCGACCCTTTGCGCTGCCCAACGGGCCGCTACCAGTTTTGTTCTTTGGCTCTCACTGTACATCACGAAAAGACTCAGGGAGCCAGCTTGGCACCGCAGACAGAGGGCACGACGGGGACAATCCAGAGTCCTCTTGTGTCTGTTCAAAGCCGCACAGTGCCTGGACCACCATCACGCCAGCCCCAGAAACTCATCTGGACGCATGGCCTCGCGATCGGCTCCGCAAAAATGGGTATGTCAGTGCGGAAAACATGTGCAGCCATGGCATTGGTTCTGTTCCTGTGGCAAGCCATATCAGCAGAGACGCCGTCGAAGAAACTCCTCTTCCCACCGTCAACTTGCTGCGCACGACAGAGCTGCGCAACAGTATATCAGCAAGGTGGTGCCCGACTCCATGCTGGTGGCCGAGGCGCACTGCGACTGGGACAAGTGGAAGCCACCGAACGACAGCACCCAGATCAGCTCTTACAAGAAGAGAGTCAAGGAGCGCCAGTTCACCCTTGCAAAGCTTGCCGTTGCTGCGAAGTTGGCCAACAGGTCAGATCTTTCAGAGCACGACGAGATTGCAATGCTCGAGTATTGCCTGTCCGTCCTCAAACCCCTTGGAGACCAGCTTGCAGACGCTCGGTATCGGAAGAACAAGCTAGAACAGTTGCTCAGGGACACCATCAACAAGAGGAAGGAGCTCGAAATGAAGGAGATCGGGCTCGAAGACCAGATCCAGGATGCCAGGTCAATGGAGCAGGACCTAGAACAGCAACTGCAATAAGAAGAGCTCGTACAAGATCACGGACCGCAACGTGTCTCGATGTGGCATGTTCAGATGGATGTTCAGGAAGGAGGCTTCGCGGACGGCCCACCCACAAGGAGACCGTCACCGCCGCCGCCGCCAGTCAGAGAAGCCTCGAGGGACCCATATGGTGGACGTGTTGGTTGGGATGTGCCGGCACACACACCTGCAGGGCCACCCGCTCCCAAGTACCCACCTGGTGGCGTACCACCCATCAGCGCGAAGCTCTCCTACGATCCGCAGCAGCAGCTCACCATCGCCACAGCGATCCAGGCCATGATGTCTCGCCAAGACCAGATGGAGCAGTCCTTCGCCCAGTTCCAGAACACTATGGCGGCCATGATATCGGGCTCGTCACATCCTTCAAGTACGTCGGGGTTTCGTTCTGCTGGAGGGGAAGCTCGCCCGCCAGGTCCAGGTGGCCCCTCCCCTCTGGAGGCCCCGCCACGGTCAGCAGCCAGCATCGAGGTGCCCAACACTCCGCCTGCGAAGTCCCGCCCTACCAGCAGGCCCCTGACGCCGCGGACGGCATCTCAAGTGGAGGCAGCCATCATCAATGCGGTCAATCCGACGCCTGGCTCAGAGTCCTTCGCGGATCAGCTCAGGAAGCAGATGATAAAGCATGTCCCTACCGCCGCCACTGGAGAAGACTTTCCTGGTCCGACACAGATGTGGGGTGCCCCAGAGACCGAGACCCTACCCAGCCAAATGGTCGCGCCTACCCAGCCTGTCAGCAACGCGCAGGAGGACGTCTTCCTACCTGGCCCGCCGCAGACGATCACGGAGCAGATGATCAATGCGCAGGAGGCGTCGGGGCTCACCCAGGAGTTCAGGGGTCCCAACGGCAAGGCCAAGACTGGGGCACGTGCGTCAGAGGGCGGCTCGGGGGACACGCCACCGCACAAGTCCAACATGCTGCCAAGCATGAAGGAGCTCTGAGGCACGCGGCACCTTTAGTGCCCCAGTCTAGTACACAGATCCGCACGGCGAGACGGGTTTCATTCGCCCCTGCGGAGCAAATTTCGGTCGCCACTCTCGATGCGCGGCTGCGCCAGCGTCTTTCACATCCTCTTCCGCCCTCTTGCTTGCAGTCATCCGCTTGTACCCCCTGTCGTGCTCACGTCGGGCAATCCACGTCTGCGCAGCAGGAGAGCAGTATAATTTCTGCAGGCATGCATGTAGCTTCTATCGGTCATCGAGACAGGGATAGTTCTCACAGAATTCATGGACAAGGAAGCCTCCAAGCGGGCGGGGGACGCCCAGCTGCTGAGGCCACGGAGCCCACGCCAGGTACCTCGCGGCCGCTCTCTGTGCATGACCCCGTCCCCTCTTCGTCTGACCAGGTCGACGACCCCACCCCGACGGCGCCCCCCCCCAATTGGTCAGGGCTGCAGACTTGGGAACATCCAATCAAGGGGATCTGGCTGCGCGTTCTCTGGTCTCAGCCCCATGCCTGTGCTTTGTACTTTTCCTATTCTTCCGCCACTCAGGGGGGCTCTTCGGCAGGACGAGCCACTTGCTCTTGAGCAGCTCACAGTCACACAACTCGAGGCGACGGGGGTCCTCGAAGATGAAGCCGGGCTGGGCCTGACGCTGTGCCCGCCAAGAGACGGCGTGTGGCACTACATCCGCCTGTATACCGACGGCTCGCTCTTCACCAAAGGGGGGAAGGGATCATGGGCAGTGGCAGTCATAGGGGAGGATGGGGAAGGAGAGTCCTTTCTTGGAGCACTGCGCGGTGACATCACTAGCGCGACTAGCATGCGACTTGAACCATGCGCCAGCACGAGTACCACAGCTGAGGTGGTCGCTTTAACGTACGCGTTGTTTTGGATAGTCGGCAATCGGCCGAAGTGCCGTGTCAGCATCTCCTCTGACTCGCTGCTCGCCATAGGAGCCACACAGGGGGGGAAGGTACCTTTGGCCGACAGAGCAGTGGGCGATTCCCTTCGCGCCGTGTTTGAGTATGCTCAGGGGGAGGCGCACTTCGACATTCGGCATGTTAAAGCACACAGGGGACATACTTGGAACTCACTTGCGGACAACATAGCCAAGGCTACCGCGTTTGGCAAACTTTGTGCCCCCCCCCGAGCCCCCCCCCCCCCCCGACATCTCGTTGAGGCTTTTCAATGCCAGAAGTCCCGTCAGTGGGAGTGGATGCTCGCACGGGGACCTGACGCCTATGCCTACCCTGAGATAGGCTGGTCGGGCGACGGGGCCACGCGGCGAGGTGCACCCCCGCAATTTCGGGTTGACCAGGCTACTTTGTTGCGGTGGCAGTCCAAACCCCCCTCACACAATCTCAAAGTTCAAGTCCAACTTCGGGTCGCCACCTTCAATCCTCGGTGTGTGCGGGATGCGCATCGGAAGGGGGAAAAAGGTCACCAGCGATTTCATCGGATCAATCTAGTGAAGGAGCAGTTCCACGACATGGGGGTGGCCCTAGTAGGGATGCAGGAGTCACGCAACGAACAG